AGCGCAAGAATAGCTAGTTTTAGTAATGCAAAGTTATTTTAGGGGTTGAAAATAGCCTTCCTTTTCGATATAATATGGTTGGGTGATCCGCTCGGTTGCGTGATCCGCTCGCTTACCGATTACGTTAATGGATGGAAGCTTAGCCATGCAAGGCTAAGCTGGCTAACTCCACAAGCGGCCCCTTTTGTAGCTAGTAGTACAGTAGTACTAGTACTGGATAGACGACTGAGTAGCCACTCATAGGTTTCCCTGCAGCCTAGCCTGTGACAGTTTCTATCCATCAGATAATAAAAGGTGATGAATGGGTTGTTGTCCAAGAGAGCATAATATATTATACATAAGTATAGGGGTGCTCAGCTTCGCTTCGCAATTAGAATAGTTCTAACTTCTGGCTCTTGGCGATAAATCCTGTGGCTAAAGCTAGGCTTGATGCTTTCCACCTCGCGCCCCTAGCCCCCTAAGAATATGTTGCAGCTCTATCCAGTGTGTTAGAAAATTTTCTTTCCAAGCTCACTTTTGAAAGCTTCCTCCGCCTTGGCCTTTTCTCTGGCATCCTGAAACCTGTTGGGATGGAGAGCAGCTAGGCTTTGCCTGAAGACCATAGATAGGCTCTCATGTTTAGACATTTGTGGTGTCTGTAACGCCTTGAAGCCCTATATTCTTCACCTGAATGCCCTGCATGCCCCTGAAGTGCTGATGTGTCTCTGCTGTGCTAAGCCTGCTGTCTTTTAGAGACCAGCAGAGGGTTTAGCCAGAGTAGGGACAGGGCAATATAATACAGGCCTAATCTGCAGTGCACCTGTATCTAGGTTGTTCTGTACTATAGGACAATCCTTGAATAAGGACTCATGATATAGTCACGTGAAACTCATATAGTCATGTGATTATGAATGTCTTGCTATCTCATCCCCTTACAAAACAGTCACAAGCTAGCTATACTATTATGTGAGTAACTTTGATCTCATTCTCTTTGTAATTTGTATCATTTTCTGAATAAGCAAGTGATTGCCTGCCTGCTTTTACTCACAAAAGCATACTCTCCGCTGTGATGACTAGTCAAGCATTAAGCCTTCCACTCCTTCGGGGCTCTATAACATTAGAAGAAGCTCTTCAGCAGGAAGAGGATATGCTTCTCGACGTGTCTTATCCGGATTCTCGGATAGAATTTTTTGTTTTTCTCTACAGTCATCGCAACGACATCGCAGAACTCGTTTCAGACCATTTGGGACTAGGTCAATCCAATCAGTGTCGCGTGGGAGAAGTGAGGGAGTGGATACACGGCAGCTTCAACGTTTGCATTCCGGTTTACGTCGAAAATTGGATCAAATGTTTGCCTAAGCGGTTCCTCATTCGATTCCCTCTGCCGTACAAGGTGGGAGAATCGGCGTATCCTGGAAACGCCGATGAGAAGCTCCGTTGTGAGGCCGCCACCTTCATTTGGATACGACAGCATCACCTTGATATCCCGCTCCCTCGCCTTTGGGGATTTGGATTTGCTGGGGGTCAGAGCATATGTCATTTGAACACACGGGGACCGTTAGGTTAGAGGCTAACAATGATTGCTTACAGTTCACTAGACCCGAAAATATGTCTGTGACGACCAGGGCGATTTGGTACGTTAAGCGATACGTGTCATGGCTCTTGGGATTTCCGCTACCCTGCCCTTATATAAGCCATCGTCGTCAACAGGTGCTGGAGCACGGCTACCTCGTCATGGACTATATTGACGAGCCAGAGGTGCAGATGCTGTCAGAAACATGGCACGAGTTGCCACATCATCCAGACAGAACAGCCAACTTCTACCGGGACTTATCTCGCATTATGCTTTCCTTGAGCCAGCGTCCATTGCCCCGGATAGGCTCTTGGACGATAGACTCAAACGGAGTATTGCAACTTTCCAATCGGCCTCTCACTCTTCGCCTTCATCAGTTGGAAAATGCTGGTATCCCGACTAACATCGGTCGGGATTTGACTTATCCATCAACCGATTCATACTACCTCGATATTTTGTCCTGTCACGACAGCCGTATACGGCACCAGCCAAACTCCATCCATGATGAGGAAGACGGACGCGCCCAGTTGGCGAACCTAAGCATCATGCGGGCGCTTCTTCCTCATTTCACCGACCGAGAGCTCCGCCAAGAACCTTTCTTCTACAGACTCACAGACCTGCATCCAAGCAACATCTTTGTCGACAAGCAATGGCATATCAAATACCTGGTCGACCTTGAGTGGGCATGCTCACTCCCAGCTGAGACCTTGCGCCCTCCGTATTGGTTGACCGGTCATACTGCAGACGACATTCTTGGCGAACACCTTGTCACATTCAGCAAAGCACACGACAAATTCATGGAGATTTTCGAGGAGGAAGAGAAGCGATATCCGCCTCTATTCAATGTCTGCGCGTACCGGACAAATATCATGAGAAAAGGCTGGCAAGTCGGAAATTTTTGGTTCTTCCAAGCCTTGGATAGTCCCAAGGGCCTATTCAACATTTTCCGTGACCATATCCAGCCAAAGTTCGCACCATCTCAGAGCGCCGATCCATCAGACTTCTCGAGAATAGTATCCGAGTACTGGGCTGTGGATACCAAGGATGTCATAGAGGGAAAGTTGAAAGACAAGGAGGTTTACGAAAATGAGCTACGTCTGCGTTTCCGGAATGGTGCTGATGGCACATGATACCAGCGATAGCGCTGCTCAATAAAACCATCCAGCAGGCGAATCATTCGCTCCAGGCTCGGCAGTATCAATGCTCTCAATGGGCCTATTATACCAGAAACGTTGGAGATGGAAACCCACACTAAAACTACTGGGACAAGCAACTCAGTGTAAGTGTCGACCTCCTCTAGTGTGTTTATCAAGAGGGCTATAAATGAGGACGAGGAAAACATGAACTGTGGTGCTTCACCATTATGCAGTGTTAGGCATCAGGAAAGCACTTCCGATTCCGTCGAATGGTCCGCTAGTTCAGCTGCGTTTGAATGGATTACCGGCGGTTTTGCTGTGCAAAGAGAGTGGACGTCTGGTAATGACTATACGTACTATGGGAATTGAGGTGACACGGCCTGCGTCTGGTACAACACCGCCCACACTGCTTATACGGTCCAGAATGGGAGGGAAATGTGCGCGCCTCTCCCACTAAATCAGGCAATCCCTATGTCATGTTCTCGCCAAACCAGCACAATGCTGGCGGTCCGCCCTAAACTTGCCTATATATTAGTCCCAGATACATCGTCTTAAGGTCACTTGCCTGAAGGCCTCTATCTGAGTACCATCATACTCTTATGCAGCTCTGCCACCATTTCCACCGAGATCCATCCATGGATAGACGTTTCTAAGGTTGGCTTTGGTAGATCTAACTACTAAAGTCTAGACTTGAATGATGCTATGCAAGCAACTATAAAACTATGTACCTACTCCTGAGGTCTTTGGCTAGGTAAGGATGTGGATTGAACGTTTCTTTGTATATTATTTATCAAGGTTAGATAGATAGATTGAAAGAATTAGACCTTTGTCCTTATTTATCTGCGCATATATATTTACTATATAGATATAAATAGCACGGAGTGGCTGACAAAACTACTGACTTTCCTCTCTCGCCGAAAGTGACCTTCAGTACTCCATACTACCAGTTGAAGCCTCGAACTAAAGAAGGATCCGACGAGCTGTCACTCCGTTACTCTCTCATTTCTGTGTGAATGAATTTATTGGCTGGAGTGCCAGGGAAAATATGAACTAAGCGTCAAAGAAAAGGCTGTCGCGCATCCTATTTGTCCCAGCGGTCTGCAGCTTCAATCTGGAGCTATGAGGTATGAGCTATGTTCTACCTACACGTACAGCGCCTCAGTTGCAGATCATGACGCCAACCATAGTCTATTTACTTCTTCAGCAAATTCCATGAGCATGCAGATTCAAAGTTTACTCCCCGAAGGCCCTGTAAGCAAAGGGAGTAGTGACCTACCTTCGACTCTCCCGATTAGGTGCCCGACAATCTGACCCCGGCAGAAATCCTGATGCCTAGAAATGCGCAGAACAAATCTTCGATTCATCAGTGAGGTTCTGGTTGAGTCATACCAATCTTTAAGAGAACCTCTTTGGTTCATTTTAGATTTTTTCGACTCGTTTTTCTCCTTCTGCAAAGCATGATACCGTCGGTCTCACGTCAATGGCTCTGTCGACCCTCCCCATTCCCTACATAGGGACGTCGGCAATCTTTCTCCTCTCAATACCTCATGTCAGTCAGCTTGTCACTGACTGTGGAGGCAAGAAACTATACAGATTACTCGAATCGAGCACCGACGATGAGACTATCACCAGCGGCAAGCCGCCCCGATCAGTCTGGCAACGCGTCACTCTAGTTGTGGTGGCAGCAGCAGCCACCATTGCGGCGCTCTGGTCATGCGTAAGCACGCAACCAGTGCTTGCTCCAAAAGTCCTTTATCTCGCTGCGTGGGTAAGCAATCGTGCTCCCTGAGTGCTTTTCGAGCTCTAGGAGGTGACAATGTTTGCAGATTATGATCCTAGCCCAAGAATTGGTTCTCACAAGCCGTCCGAATCCAGAAGCCAGATACCGCCTAGGGTCCTACAGCGCCTTGGCCAGTCTGGCCATAGGCATCTGTATGGCCTTGCCATATGCATTGTCGTTGCACAGCAAACTGCGTGACTTCAAGTTAACTTCCCAAGACGCATCGAGCGTTGTTGAACTAGTCGCCGCTCTCATTCTTCTCTTCGTGAATCTCGCATTTCCAAGAGGACCCACGGTCTACCGCGACGGGCGTCCAGTTGATTCGCAGAAATCCGTCTCGTTCCTAAATCGATACACCTTCTCCTGGGCGTACACAACCCTGGCCATTGCGGCGAAGAATGGAAGACTCAATGTTGACGACCTCCCCGTGGTTGGAGACGAAGTGCGTGCAGAGACGCTCTCCGACTCCTTCTTTGCAGTCAGGTCAACCGCGGTGAGATGGAGGAAGTGGCTGAAGCTCTACTGGCCAGAGATGGTCTTACAGGTGATCATACAGCTCTTTGCCAATGCTGTTAATTTCCTCCCTCACTTTCTCCTCCTCTCCATCCTTCGCCTCTTTGAGGACCGTGATGCGGGAGCCGGGAACCAGCTTCAACTAGGGTTGACAGCCCTGGGTCTTGGGCTATCTATGGTGGTCACATCTTGGTTCATATCACTGAGAGACTTTGTCGCTGATCTGAGACTTTCTCTGCCAATTCATGAACAGCTGTTCGCAGTCATTTCCAAGAAAGCCATGAGCTTGAAAGATGTAGTGATATCCGCCGGCGATAGCGAGGATAATGATGCTGCAAGCGACGATGACGACGACGACGACGACGACGACGAGTCACCCAGAACAAAGCACTCTGTTCTCAATCTCCTCGGAGTAGACGTGGAAAGAGTCTCCGATTTCGTCGCCTATAGCCATCTGCTCCTCGACTGCATACTTGAACTCAGCATCGCGATCGTCTTCCTCGTATACCTGATGGGATGGAAACCCATAGTGGCTGGATGTGTTATTCCCGTTCTTCTGACACCTGTCTACTACTATTTGACCAATCAGTACAGCAAACAGGAACAAGCACTCATGGAACGCCGGGACGAAAAGTCCACGGTGCTTACTGTCTTGATGCGTGGCATACGGCAGATCAAGTTCAGCGCTCTCGAAACCCAATGGTACAACAAAATCCTGGGGTTGCGCGAAAAAGAGCTGCTTAACCAACACACCGTTTTCCGGCTCAACGTCTATCTAACGGCCATCTGGACGCTGGGTCCGCTGTGCATGAGCTGTATCTCAATCGCCACACATATCTACGTGAATGGCTCTATTGCGGTCTCGGTTGCTTTTACCGCCTTGTCGCTCTTTGAGAATTTATCAGCCGTACTCAGCCTGTTTCCTGAAGCCTTTACGGATCTACTAGATGCCTCGGTCAGCATTCAGAGAATCGAAAGCTTTCTGGATCTACCAGAACATGAGGACAAGAGAGTGCCAGGTGATACCATCTCCTTCCGCGACGCTACCATTGCATGGCCGTCAGTTGCGGAAGATGCAGCAGAGCAGTTCCAGCTGAAGTGCCTCAATCTTGACTTCCCTTCGCGGGAGCTCACCATCATTTCAGGACGGAGCGGTGCTGGGAAGTCGCTACTTCTTCAAGCACTCATTGGCGAAGCAGACATCGTGAAGGGCGCTGCTATTGTCCCTCGCGCGACCGCTCCCAACTGGACAGTTGGCGAGGAAAACTGGATAGTGGATGGTCTGGTTGCATATGTCTCCCAGGATCCGTGGATTGAGAACGCGACGCTCCGTGATGCCATCTTGTTCGGGCTGCCTTTTGACCCAGTGCGATATGGAAATGTCATTCACGCATGCGCGCTCTCGCACGATCTCGAATCGTTTCCTGATGGAGACAGAACTGATATTGGCGCTAATGGAATCAATCTAAGCGGTGGTCAGAAGTGGCGCCTGGCGTTGGCCAGGGCACTATACAGTCGCGCTAGTATTCTCGTCTTGGACGATATATTCAGTGCGGTTGATTCCAACGTTGGCCGGCATCTGTACGACAACGCTCTGATGGGGGCTCTTGGGAAAGGGAGAACAAGAGTCCTGGCCACGCACCATGTTCGATTGTGTCTGGGAGGGGCTGCATACATAGTGACGCTGGAGAATGGTCATGTTGTGCAAGCAGGGCATCCGTCAAGTCTCATTCAAGACGAAACTTCCGAGTCTACACTTGATGGCAGCACTTCAGCCACTTCGCTTGATAGCAGACCTAACCCACTCAATCCCTCCAAGCGAACAAATGCTAGTCCTCCCCGCTCGGATTCCCAGCCCAAAAAGTACTATGAGGAAGAGAAGCGAGAACGTGGTTTTGTCAGAGCAGAGGTATACAACGCTTATATAAGAGCCTCGGGCGGCTACTCTCGCTGGATTCTGGTCATCATTCTTTGCGTCTCGACGCTGGCACTGAACCTGGCAGCTCCTTACTGGGTTTCTGTTTGGACCAGAGCATACAATGAAAGTATTCCGCCATCAATCCTCACGCAGCCAGGTCATCTGAACGCCGTCTCAAGCCAGTTCAGTAGCGGTGGTCTGCATTTTGACCAACGCCTTGTCTACTATAGCTCAATCTACTTCGGCTTGACATTCGCCTCGTGGATTCTGGACGTCATCCGTATCCAGATCATTCTCAGCGGCTCCATTAAGGCTTCCAAGGTGATTTTCGAACAGTTCGCCGAGACCATTCTCAGGGCCCCTCTCCGTTTCCTCGACGTGACACCGGTTGGCCAGATCCTGAACCGATTCACGTCAGATTTCGGCACTCTCGACTCCGATCTCGCGCTTGATCTATCATATCTCCTGCATAGCGGCATCCTGATCCTCGGCGTCATTGTCGCAGCTTCGGTAACCTCTCCTCTCATCGTGGGACTTGGCCTGCTGACTCTCTTGGCGTCATGGGCAGTCGCCTTCTTCTATGTAACCGGGGCTCGAGAGGCAAAAAGACTGGAAAGTACCGCTAGATCCCCGATCTTTGAGCTGGTCGGGTCTCTGCTCACCGGGTTGCCTACCGTCCGTGCATTCGGGAGAGAGACGGCCTACCTGAAGCGAATGTACGATCTGATCGATATACACTGCCAGGCCCTTTGGCACAAGCGGTTATTCTCATGCTGGATGTCGTTTTGGATGAGCATGGTCGGGGCCATTGTAAGCCTCCCCCCATGTATTCATCGCACCCATGCTAGTCCTTGCTAACCTGTCTGTCAGTTCGTCGCCTCCGTCACAATCACCTTCGTCCTCATTCGCACCTTAGACGCACCTCTTGCGGGCTTCGCTCTCAGCTTCGCGCTCGAACTCTCAGACCACATCTCCTGGTTACTAACGCAGTATGCGGAACTGGAACTCGACGCCAACGCCGCCGAGCGCATAGTGGAGTACACGCAGCTAGACCAGGAGCCACAGTCCGGCATCGACGTGCCAATATCCTGGCCCAGCAACGGCGAGATCGAGGTTACCAACCTCTGCGTGAGCTACGGCGCAGACCTCCCGGCTATTCTGAAGGACCTCACCTTCACCCTGCGAGCCGGTGAGCGAGTCGGTATCGTCGGGAGGACCGGAGCGGGGAAATCCTCGCTTGCGCTGGCGCTCCTTCGATGCCTGGAAGCGCGGTCCGGCTCCATTCACATCGACGGGATCGACATTGCGCAAGTGCGACTGCATGATCTCCGCTCACGGGTGGGGATCATCCCCCAGGACCCAGTTGTGTTTGCCGGCACGGTGCGCGAAGTGCTGGATCCGTTTGACCAGCATGACGATAGCGAGCTGCACGACGCTCTAATGAAAGTCGCGCTGCTGCCACCGTCGGACCAAGGCGCTCCAGGCCATTGCACGAGTGAAGGCGTATCAAACGACTCATTCGCTCTCGATTCTCCTATCGTAGAAGGAGGGCGGAACCTCTCGCAGGGCCAAAAACAACTATTATGTCTTGCGCGTGCTCTTGTCTCGCGTCCGAAGATCCTGATCATGGACGAAGCCACGGCGTCCGTCGATATGGAGTCGGACATTCGCATCCAGCGCACACTCCGGCAGGTTATTCGCGGGTGTACGTTGCTGGTGATTGCGCATCGACTTTCGACGATTGCGGACTTTGATAGGATTATTGTGATGGATGGTGGCAGGGTGGTGGAGATGGGTCGGCCGGGGGAGCTGGTGAAACTTGAGAACGGTGTTTTCCGGGGCTTGGTGGAGGAGAGTGGGGAGAGGGTGGTGATTGAGCAAATGATTAGGACTAGAGCTATAGATTGATAGAGCTTTGTCAGTTGAGACTCGACAAGGGGTCAACGCATTATGTATCTCTTCATTTCGAACCAAAACAAAGACAAAGACAGCTACACCAATACCGACGAGCAGTTTCAAGAGACAGCGAAGACAAAGCATCTGCCTACTTGTCACAACCATCTAGCATGGCTTTGCTATATATCAGCCGGGACCGCTGATCCATGGTTAGGGCTTGAATCGCCCACAAGGCAATCATACAACAGTATCATTGTGGCTATCTATATACTAGATGAGACAGACATATTGCAATCAATAGACATAAAAAATTCGATACAAAAAAAAAGTTCCCAACCAAACAGACAATCGACAAGAACCGACGGGAGGAAGAGCAAAAAGAAAAAGAAAGCCGAACGCGGGGGTCGAACCCGCAACCTTGAGATTAAGAGTCTCACGCTCTACCGATTGAGCTAGCCCGGCGAGCTGATATATTCGGTCTTGCTTTTATCGCTATATAAAGTAATCTTTCTTGCTTCCCAACCACACGACATGACCTAACCAATCATAAGTACCTGATGATCCGCCGTCGAGCATGTGGGTGGATCATTTGCTCTGGTTGTACAACTACAATCCCTTAACCCCTAGACTAAGTAATCTACGTACTCTGCTAAGGTGCTCTGCAGTAGCCCATGTACGGTAAGGATGATCCTGGACAGCTGATTGTTCCGGATGGCCGCATGTACTCTCTCAGGGCTTGTGACTGGATTGCTTATTGCTTACTTTGGTGCATCCATGGTTGGCAAGGTGCGACTGCTTTCGAGTGGACACTACACAGATTATTCAAACTGGTTGACTTTTGGCCATGTGCCAGGGGTAATAGAATGTAAAAGAAATGCTACATTCTTTGGTCAGTGTTTACTTCCAGCCTCAAGTAGATACTACTGCTATTGAGATTGTTTAGGGATAGAAGGAATGTGTCCCGTGATTGGTCACATATTGATATAGGTAACAATCAATAATTCAAGCGTCGATCACCGCGATCCCTTACTTCATGGTCTAATAGAGGGATCCTCGTCAAGATGGAGCCTAAAGACAGTCTAAATCCCTGATGCAGCCACCTGCTGCTTCTCACTTTTTAGTCTCACCTCACCCCCCACAGAACTACCACTCGGCACCGGGTTAGCATGCCCTAGACGTGCTGGCCGAGATGGCTCTTCGCCTGTGATCGTCGCATGTGTCGAGTCTTCATGCCTCCAGTGGTCGACTGAACACTCCTCTTCTCTGGATGTTGCAGCATCCGTCCACTCATTCACTCATTCATTCATTGCTTTGCAGTTGGTAGTGGTTACCCCAGTCACTCGTTTGTCTTGCTATATTATGTTCAGTAACCGTGGGTCTTGTGGTTTCGTCCGATGGAAGGTTGGAGCGAGGTGTTATCCCACACTCGCTCTGCGTTCGCTTGTCTGTAATAGATTTATATTGAGAGAGAGACCAGGAAGCGCTCTGAAAGCTTCGTAGAGGCAAGGCTATCTTCATTCGTATTCATGAAAGACGATACTGACTCACCACCTCCCAGGCCTTGTCTCCGCTCACTTGTTCAGTCCGCAATAGTGGTGAGCTTACTGACGATGCAGTGCTTGAGCGTGCTCTTGGTCGTAACCTTGTTGCATCCAGCTGTCAAGGCTGCCGACCTGACATCCCACGTTAACCTCTTGTGAGCCGTTCTGTCTCGGATTTGGTTTCGGAAAGATGGGCCAGACGCTAATGCACCCACAGCACGGGCACGCAGAATGGCGGGAACAACTTCCCCGGCGTCGCCCGTCCCTTCGGCATGGTCAAACTCGGCCCTGATCTGCTCAATGCCGGCACCGATGCGTACTCCGGGTACCTGCCCAACGGCGCCTTCTCGGGGTTCAGCATGATGCACGAGCAAGGGACGGGCGGGGCCCCCAAGTATGGGACCGTCTCGCAGTTGCCGCTGGTAGGCAATGTCAGCGAGCCTCTGTCAAATAAGACGGTTGCTCGCGCCGGTGCGGACGAGGCATCTGTGGGGTACTACAAGGCGCGCACGTCGGAAGGCGTCGTCGTTGAATTGACGGCCACCGCGCATGCGGGGATGTATCGGTATACGTTTCCGACTGGGTCGAAAGGGAATGTGCTTGTCGACGTCTCGCATGTGCTGCCCTCGTTTAGAGGACAGGGGCTCAGCCAGGGGTATAAAGGTGGTAACCTGACCATCTTTCCCGACGGGCATTATGAGGGTCATGGAGTATATGATAATGGGTGGAATCGTTCTCCAGACTGGTCTATTTACTTTTGTCAGTTGCAGCCCGTTCGGCGGGAGCTTGCTTGGGACTAATAGTTCGCAGGTGGTTACTTTGACGCTGACCCGGTCAGCAACGCAACGTATATCGGAACAGACGCACAGGGCAGCGTCAAGCAGGGCAGCGGCTTCGCATCCTCTACCTCGGGATCGACCCGCGTCGGAGGTCTCTTCTCCTTTCAGGACTCTGTAGTGACGTCTCGCGTTGGCATCTCCTGGATCTCCACGCAGAAAGCCTGCGAGCACGTCCAGGATGAGATTCCCCACGGAACAGAGTTCACCTCCGTTGTCGAAGACACCAAGGCCGAATGGAACGCCACCGTCTTGTCCAAGGTGACCACCACAAACACAAACGACACGAGCCTCGAGCTGCTGTACACATCGCTGTACTTTATGCACTTGATCCCCACAAATCAGACGGGCGAGAATCCCAGCTGGACATCGTCAGAGCCCTATTATCAGGATATCTTCACATACTGGGTATTGTATCCCCTTGCATGCTCTAGGTCATGACTGACCACCCCAGGACCTCTTCCGCTGCTCCACGGCTCTCATGCAAGTCCTGCAGCCGGTAGCCTACGAAGAGCAAATCCGATCTCTGATCGACATCTGGCGGTTCGAGGGCTACCTGCCCGATGCGCGCTCGTCCAACTACAACGGCCGCACCCAGGGCGGCTCCAACGCCGACAACATCCTGGCCGACGCATACGTCAAGGGCGTCCGCGGCGCCGTGAACTGGGAAGACGGGTACAAAGCCATGGTGAAAGACGCCGAGGTCGCACCGCCCAACGATCCCGTGGACCCCATGGCGCCTGACTCGTCGACCAAGGAAGGACGGGGCGCGCTTCCGGACTGGTTGAGTCTGGGGTTCATCACGCCCAGATACAGCCGGGCCGTGACTCGGGCGGCGGAGTACTCCTGCAATGACTTTGGGCTGTACCAGGTGGCGTCGGGGTTGGAGAAGCACACCGACGCCGAGAAGTATCTGAACCGGTCGCGGAACTGGCGCAACCACTGGAATCCGAACCAGACGTCTCTCGGATTCTCCGGGTTTGTCGTCCCCCGCGATTCGTCGGGGTTTATCGAGACGGACCCTCTGACTGATAGCGGGTACTGGGGGGATCCGTATTACGAGGCGAGTTCGTGGGCGTACCCCTGGGCCAGCGTGCATGACATGAAGGAGATGATTGAGATGATGGGAGGCGACGAGACCGTCGTCGATCGTCTGAATACCATGTTCACCGAGGGAGCCAGCGGGTCCAGCGGAACGATCTTCGACCCGACGAATGAGCCGTAAGCCATTTGCGTTTACTACATCAGAACCCCAAATAACTGACAGAGCTTAGCATGTTCAACATCCCATACCTATACAACTACGTCGGCCGACAAGATCTCTCCGTCTCGCAGTCCCGCAAGGTCGCCAAAAGGTACTTCAACACGGGCGTCGCAGGTCTGCCTGGCAACAGCGACGCAGGCGCAATGCAGACATGGCTGCTCTGGAACATGATCGGACTGTATCCGATCACAGGACAGACGACATTCCTCATCCATTCGCCGTGGTTTGAGTCCCTGGCCATCGATCTTGGGGACGGGAAGGAGCTGCGCGTCACAGCAACCGGGGGTGACGGCAACGGTGACAGCAAGATTTATGTCCAGAGTCTCAAAGTCAATGGGAAGGAGTGGCGCAAGAATTGGCTGGCGTGGGGTGATATCTTTGAAAACGGAGGAACGCTCGAGTTTGAGCTGGGGGAGAGCCCAAGCGACTGGTTTACCGGGGAGCTGCCTCCCAGCCCTGCATCGTAACCTGGCAGGCCGGGTGAGTACATTTTTATGATTGATGAAGTAGATAGTATTTTGTACATAGCGGATTTTAATTTATCGATATAACTCCGTGGAGCGAATTCTGTCTCTGTTTGGTGTATGTCTCAGCCATGTTCTTGCTACGTCTAGAAGAGCACCATGTATTCTCGAATCAAAACACAACATTCGATGAAATTCGAAAGACATGGCAAGATAAAATAATGAGCAGAATACAGTGTGCGAGTACCTCAATTCCCCCTCATGTACCATCTTCAAAACCGTTAAACAAGCTTGTAAGTACTGGCGTACGAAGCATCATTGGACGAACACCCTAAAATCCAATATCTTGAAAGAGATAGCTGAGCCAGAGAGCCTCTCAGCCGCAGTGACAATTGTACTGTATTCTGCTTCGCATGTGGACAGGAAGACGACTGTCTGCAGCTTCGAAGTCCAAGAGATAACCCAACTCCAAAAATGAAGAAGTATCCAGTTGCCGAACGGCGTTATCAAGCAACCAGAAGAGTCCGTGTCCGCGTCGACGAACCCTGTGATGACTCCAAACATTTCCATAATTTCCTTGCCGTCGACGAGTAACCACGTTGCTTGGACCCTCTGAAGGGAGCGCGGTTTTCAATGCCTCCAGGGATTGCGCCATGTAGGAGTCACCAAGGTGGTATTTGTGGACGTACCCGAAGAGAAAAAGCCGGTCTCCAGTTCAGGCAGTGTCTGGGGTAGTCTGTCTCTTTGATCACCTTCTTATTCTCTTCGTCTGTTGCTATCCAAGCCGTGAGATATGATGGCCCAGAGCTTCATTGGCCATAGGCAAGGTGGCATTTGGATGTCACAAGGTCACCCTAGACCTATTCAATGCCAGAACCTCATCCAGATGAGAGATTAGGATATCATCAATGTATATCATGGCTATCTTCAGAGATAGGGCCGAAGAATATTCTCCGTCATTTGTTGAAAGAATGAGGGAGTTGTGGCTAAACCCATAGTCGAAGCTTTCAAGCCCTCCTAGCCGCCATGGGCAGTCACGGAGGTAGTTTTTTCCATTGACGAGAAGTGGCAGCAGCAGGCCTGTGCTGAAACGCACCCTCCCACCCATCCGGCCTGCGTGCCTAGAAGAAACGAGCAAGAAAACGCCGAATGGTGGCCGGGCTGGAACCAGGCGCCACAGGGGTCGGCGGCGGAAATGTTCATCAACGTGAAGATTGTGCCGCCTCCCGGAGCTTCTAACACATTGTCCTGATACAGAAAAGGATAGTAGATGACCTTGCGCATGTCAACCATGACGCCGGGCTGTCCACTTCTCCAGACCCTGAAACCAGGGGACGCTATAGGGCAGACTTTGCCTTTGGAACTGGTTCAGTTGGTCTTCTGCGCGCAAAGGGTCCAGTATAGAAACAACGGCTAAGTAATCGCGGTGGCACATTCCATAAGCCATGCTTCACAATCCTTCGGGTTGTGGTAGTCGGCAGAAGTATTGAATCAGGTGGATACATGCTTCCAATACCTTCTATCCGGATTAGATGTATAACGAGCAATCCCCGACAGTGAACACGGTCTCCGGGCATGTTTGTAACGATGGATACATGAATCCCTTGCCCTTCAGCAGCAGAAATGCGGTTGGTATCTGGGAGATCCGGCGAGGTCAGGAGCTCCAAGTTCTCTGGAGCTCAAAGCTTGGATATGCTACCCGTTCGAAGGCTTCTCCTGTGAACAAAAGCTTAGTGGGCGTCCAGCAGGTCAGCAGCGGTAGCGTACTTACTTCTTGCCGGCATGGTGCAGTGGTGTGCTGATTGTTCGGATGAAGACGTCGCACGCAGGCCTCAGTATCGTTGTGCGGCTCTCCTATAGCTGCTTGAAGTATCCGACGCAGGATGATTCAGGGAGGGGCTCGGGGGCGGGGGCAGGCGCAGGCGCTGCGGTGTGAGGAGCCACCAGACGAGAAGACGGGGTCACCGGGGCGACAGCGACCTCATCGGTCTACCCATATGTCAGCAACAATGAAACGACGACGAAAAGCCACCATAATGACGGGGAAACACTCACGGAAGTAGTTGCCTCACCTCCACCATCCGAAACGTTATTGCAGATGACCCCTGCAGCATAACCAGCAAGAAATCTTTGCCCTTTGAGTAAGGGCAATGGCGATAGAAGTCCATCTTGATGAGAGCCAGCTTCAGTGACTCCCACCGGGAATCTTGTGGAAGAAGATTGACTCAGTGGCATCATGATCAAGGATGCTAATGCCCGTCTTTACCCTTTATATTGTCAGTAAATTGGCCATTTTCTCCCGGGTTATACCTACATAGCCCTCTCGTCATTCCCGTCATCATGGACATTGAAAGTGGACCAGTGGTCACAAGAAGTCCGTTTTGCGGCAGATAGCGCTCGTCAACGACCAACAGGAAATAAAGCCAAGCTGGTTCCCCTGCTGGAGAAATACCAGGAGGAAGTAGCGGCAGAGGCCAAGTTTATCTCGGGCTTCTTATCGTCTTAGAAATAGTCAGTAATCTTCTGCAATTACCAAAGAAGCAGATGATGATGATGCTCACAAACCTTTGGAACATTATCGTCCCCGAGGAGAGTGACAAGTGTTAACTTGCGTAGAACAATGTATTCTATTTACAAGGACCCGTTCTTCCTCTTCTTGGGAGGTTCCGCTGGCCCCGTGTGGGTGCCATTTTGTCATCCTAGAAGAGTTCAGTAACTTTCAGCACTCGGATGAATATGATTTTGGACCTACCTTCCTAACATCGTCCCCCTTACTAACAGAGAACGTTCTCAGCTTGCCTGGAACAATGTGTTCTGTCTGCATGAATGCTTCTTCTGCCCTTCCTGGCCTTCTCAGGTGATAAAGATACCGATAGGGCATTTCCTGCTTCTGAAAGTCGTTAGTACTTCGCTGCAGGTCCTCAAAGAAGCTGAGAAAGAGAATATTTGACAAACCTGTTTTCCTTTCTTCCTTGCTTATCAGGGAAGATATAGATATACTTCGGACAAGGGATTCTATCTGCAACGATTTTTCCGCCTCTGCGGGCGCTTTTGGCGATCCAAGCCTGAGAGTCGTTAGTACTTCATTGCACTCCGTCAAAGACGGTGAAGATGAAGATGATTGTCAACATACCTCTATATCGTCCCGCTTGCTAATCAGGACAATGATCGATTTGCTCGGAGCGAAGAATGATCGTTGCCATCATCGTCCTCGCCCTCGGCCTTTCCCGCGAGGGGGCTGCGCTCGCCTAGCAGCACGTCGTACTGCAGATATAAAATGATTGATAGCTTTCTAGGCTGTCAATCGGCCATCTGCTTGGCTTTGCAGCTAAAGCCAATAAAATACAAGGGCGAGGCTTCGGAACCAGTCCAACGATATATAACGAAGCTGACAAGGTCCAGATTATTGACAATCTACCTCTGGGATAGATATATCAAGCATATGTATGAGCACCACGCTCCGAAGGAAGATGATGAGAAGAAGAAGAAGAAGGAGAAGGAGGGGGGGGGGGGGGAGGGGGGAGAGACTTTCCTTTAACACATTCCCCGGCCCCCGGAACTAAGGGGAAAATCCTTCTCCCCTTTTTGCTTTAAAAAAAAAAAAAAAGCATTCACCATACTTCATCACTTACATGATCTTGCACTACTACACATTCAACTCATCCTCACAAATCTTCAACAGACTTATGTTTCAACCCCCAACTCAACTATGCTTCA